CCAACACAGTCCACCCTGTAGCGATTCACACTCGAAATTAAACCAGATTGCTCTCGATTAAAGACGCTGCTTAATTAAACCAACTCTTGAAGGCCAATTAAGTCCACTTGAAAAGGAAAAAAGTGATTGCGTTTCACGAATGGATGGTACTCGCGGCGGCTTTGAAGCTGGGATGTCACGTGACGGGGATTTGTCAAGGATGGCTTGATTAGATTAGGCCACGGTGACGATTGGTAGCGAGGTACTGCGAGGTTTGGGGCTGCGGAAGCACCTGTGGTACTGATTCGAATACCGCTGTTTGACGTCGGCAATTAATTCTGATTTAGTGCGTGAGGAACAGTGCTGGTATTTTTGCAAACGTGAGAAAAAAAGCCCGATCGCGCGTCATTAGTCATAATCGTGAAATAAGAGAGTAGAAACGTGATACTTTTGCACAAATATACGAGCTTGTTGCGAAATTTCTGTTAATAACCTATTGGGTAAGCGGTTTTTCATGCCGCGGAAGACGAATTGCGAGATTTTTCACTTTGTGGTAATTTGGTTCGTGGTGGTGGGCCTGGACTTTTTTGCGGGTTTGACGGTTGTACAGTTATGGGTTCTGATGGTGTTTTAATTTGTTGATGGGTCTAGGAGTTCGTACGCAACGAACATCGGCGGTACCACTTTGAATCTCTATTGACGATTTTCGAAATTTTTGGAAATTATGCAGTTTTTCAAAAAATGTGACGACGATATATAGAGGATCAATTTTAAAATTCTGGAGTACTATTTTTTACTTCACTGCAAAATCAAAATGGCATGAAATATGAAAATAAATTGGAATCACATTTCAGACCGAGAATCTGAAAGTGTTACAATTTTTCAAATTTATGAGTAACTTTTATTACTGAAACAAATCTCTTTGATTTATAATCTTGTTGACCTAGATACATTTCGAAAATAATAAACCATCTTTTTTTACTTCCCGAGCGTAAGCTAAAAGTATTGTAAACAAGTTCGTTGGCGGATTGGCTACTTTCATGTTTTCTCACGACGTTTCATGACCCCTAAAGTACCAAAAATTTTACTGATAATCTTCGAAACTACTGGACTGATTGTTGTCAAATCTGATATGATGTTATGAATATCGTGCATCTGGTAAAACACTAACCAAAATTTGTCTAATCACCCCCATAAAAAGCAACATAAATTTGCAATCTTGATTTATGAATCTGTGTTAAGTTTTTCACTAGACATACCATATTTTTGGAAAAAAAAATCAAAATTGTAGAACATTTTATAATTTATTTTTGAAATTATCGAATGGACTGAACAATTTTGCAGAAGTTTTAAGGTAATCATCAGAAACATGGTAAATCGTAAAATCGAGATTTATTCGTTCATGATGACGTCATTTTACAATTTTGTCGAAAAAAATAATTAAATTATATAAAATAACATACTCCTCCACTTGTGATTTATGAATCCGTGTTGGATTTTTATCGCAAAATTAAATTTTATATTTGGTTTGAAAGTCAATTTCTTTTCAACATCATATAAACTGCCATATGCATTTATTGACGATTCTGGAAAAATGGTGACAATTTTGAAAGAAATTAACTTCTGGAAGTCTAACTACTAAAAAAAATGTCTTTAGCTAATTTTTCAAGGGCGTGGGAGTAATGAAAAATTGCGGTTTTTGAAAAGTTGGCAAAAATTTTACAAAAATTCTGAGATGTAGATCTCAACGTGGTAATTCGACATATATAAAAAATTTATTGTTCCAGAACGAGATTTTCGAAATATTCAGTTCTAAAAGCATATTTTTTTTAAGTCCTAAAAATTGACAAATTTCAGTGGCGATTTTGCAAACATGATAGGAATTTACGAAGAAATGGAGCCTAAAATAGGTCTTAGGGGTTAAATTCTTCAAAAAACTATCTAGCTATTTTTTGCAGATCGTGGAAAAACGATCAAAAATTTCCCAATTTAGGAAAAATTGAGATTTTTGAAAAATGGTGGAAAAATTGAGCTTTTTGAAAAATGGTGTAAAAATCCATAAAATTACGGAATATAGATCTCGATCTGCTGATTTGAAAAATAAAACGTGTCAGTGGTCTCTGACAAAATTTTCGAAATATTCGGTTTGAACGTCAAATTTTTTAAAAATTCTAAAATTTCCTACATTTCAACGGGGGATTCTGGAAAAGTGGTACGATTTTTCGACGAAATGAAGCCAAAAATAACTTCTGGGAATCGAGGTTTACACGAAAATGCCTTTAGCTTATTTTCGAAGTGGTTGAAAAATGATCAAAAATTTCATAGGGGGCGGGATTACTGAAAAATTTGATTTTTGAGAAGTTGACAAAAAATCTACAAAAATTCTGAGATGTAGATCTTAACGTGCTAATTCGTAAAATACAAAAATTTTATTGTTCCAGAACAAGATTTTCGAAATATTCAGTTCTAAGTTTTTTTTTTTTTTTGAATACTAAAAATTGACAGAGTTCAGTTGGCGATTCTGCAAAAATATTAGGAATTTTCGAAGAAATGAAGCCTAAAATAGTTCCTAGGGGTTAAATTCTTCAAAAAACTGTCTCGCTATTTTTTGCAGGTCGTGGAAAAACGATCAAAAATTTCACAATGTAGGTATTGAAAAATTGAGCTTTTTGAAAAATGGTGTTAAAATCCATAAAAAATTACGGAATATAAATCTCGGTGTGGTGATTTGAAAAATAAAACGTGTCAGTGATCTCTTGACAAAATTTTCGAAATATTCGGTTTGAACGTCAATTTTTTTAAAAATTCCAAAATTTCCTACATTTCAACGGGCGATTCTGGAAAAGTGACGAAAATGAAGCAGAAAATAACTTCTGAGAATCGAGGTTTACACGAAAATGTCTTTAGCTTATTTTCGAAGTAGCTGAAAAATGATCAAAAATTTCATAGGGGGCGGGATTACTGGAAAATTGAGGTTTTTGAAAAGTTGACAAAAAATCTACAAAAATTCTAAGGTGTAGATCTCAACGTGCTAATTCGTAAAATACGAAAATTTTATTGTTACAGAACAAGATTTTCGAAATATTAAGTTCTAAAAGCATATTTTTTTTAAATCCTAAAAATTGACAAACTTTGGCGATTCTGCAAAAATGGTAGGAATTTTCGAAGAAATGGAGCCTAAAGTAGGGGTTAAATTCTTCAAAAAACTGTCTAGCAATTTTTTGCAGATCGTGGAAAAACGATCAAAAATTTCACAATGTAGGAAAAATTGAGCTTTTTGAAAAATGGTGTAAAACTCCAACAAAACTACGGAATATATATCTGGATGTGCTGATTTGAAAAATAAAACGTGTCAGTGGTATCTGACAAAATTTTCGAAATATTCGGTTTGAACGTCAAATTGTTTAAAAATTCTAAAATTTCCTACATTTCAACGGGCGATTCTGGAAAAGTGGTACGATTTTTCGACGAAATGAAGCAGAAAATAACTTCTGGGAATCGAGGTTTACACGAAAATGTCTTTACTTATTTTCGAAGTGGTTGAAAAATGATCAAAAATTTCATAGGGTGCGGGATTATTGAAAAATTTGATTTTTGAAAAGTTGACAAAAAATCTACAAAAATTCTGAGATGTAGATCTCAACGTGCTAATTCGAAAAATATAAAAAATTATTGTTCGAGAATAAAATTTTCGGAATATTCGGTTCGTAAAGTAAATTTTTTATAATCCTAAAAATTGACATATTTCAATAGGAGATTATGCAAAAATGGTAGGAATTTGGAAGAAATGAAGCCCAAAAAGGCTCCTAGGGGTTATATTTTTCGAAAAAATGTCATTCGCTATTTTTTGTAGGTGGTCGAAAAACGATGAAAAATTTCAAAAGGTACAAGTATTGAAAAATCCAGCTTTTTGGAAAATATCGTAAAAACCATAAAAAACTCTGGAACATAAACATCGACGTGCTGATTTTAAAAATATAGAGTAGTTATGGTCTCTGACCAAAATTTTCGATTTGAACGTCAAATTTTTTAAAAATTTAAAAATTTTCCACTTTTCAATGGGCGATTCTGGTCGAAAAATGAGATGACTTATTAAATTTTTGAGGGGAGTCAGCGATTTATAATCTGTATAATATCTAATCACAAGTATTAAATTAGTAGTTTCAGAGTCATAATTTGGGCAAAAATGCTGTTTGACAGAAAACAAAAAATTATCAACATGTCGTGGAAACAAGTGTATAAATATATATTCTTCAATTTCCGCAACCTCTTAGAATTCCAGGTAAAAACCACCTGTTGGTTCCGGTTAGTACTACGCAGGTACCTCGATGTTTTGAATGGTTACGAATTATAACGTCTTTTAATTTGCGGCACGCACTTTGATTCCCAATGCCAAAACCACTTCCCCGTCAAAAATTTTGCCAAACCGTCCTGGTGCCGCCTTTGAGCATTATCCCGGTTCTCCCCCCGCACCCACTTCCACGAACGTGCTGGCATCCCGTCCTTCGCTCGTTTTTTTCCACCCAGATAATGGTTGCGCCGCCGCTGGTCGCAGCCTCGCTCTGCATGCACTTGAATAATAATCATCATATTACAGCACCAAGACTGGTTCATATAATTTACATGTCATTGGCTACGTAGCCCACGGCTCGTGCTGAGACAAACACGCAGCCACTCTTCACGGATCGCTTCTCCCATCTCGAATGGAATTCGCCACTTTCCGAAAAAACCATCCGGCTCGAAGGAGCAGCGAAACCGTGCCACATGTCACTCAAATCCTGGAACTCCCATGAGAACGTCCCGACGGGAGGCGCTCTCACGCAAAAAACGCACATGTGCGCAATTGGCGCGCAAAAAACGGTTTATTTGGCGAAATCTCGATCCGCCACATGGCGCACTTTTTCACGGAAAACCACCGATCGGCTGGGAACGTCGTTCTCGCCGCGGTTTTCAGGCGAAGCGATCCACCGATCGATGGATCGATCTCATCGCGCTTTTATCGATTATCGATTTTCCCTTACCTCCCTGTCCAGTCGCACTCGTCGCCCATGATGGCAGCGCACGAAAACCCCACCAAAGCCAGAAAAACCATGTTCACAGAAATCCGAGGCCACATCTTCACGAAAATCCACATCACAGCACACTCGATGCCATCACACACGAAAAACGTAAACAAACGCAAAGTGGGCTGGCGTGAGCTTTCTCGACAGTTGACGATCGGCAACTGATTCGGTCAAGTTGGCGGCGAAACAACAAGTGGTTCGAATCGGCGACGGGGACCGAGAACGGCCGAGCTCCTCCCACTTGTTGGTCGAGCTTTTCACGATGGCTCGGGGGTTAATATGGGTTTATGCATGTGTGGGTTTGGTCTTTTTACGTTGTTTGGAATGGTTTCGTGATTTGTTGGAACGAAAATAGCGAGAGTTTAATTGGAGCTAATGGATGACGTGGCTCGTGGCGGTTATTGAAATATCACACGGATTGCTGATGGGTTGGGCTGGACGGGAATGGTACATGGTATTGTTTTGTGCGGTTCAATTAGACGGTAATTAGGCGGTAATTGGGTTGATGGTGATGGGTGGAGGACGTTTGTGCGAAGGTGATGGAATGGTGATGGTAATGAGGGGGTTACAGATGGATTGCGATTGTTATTGCGGGTTATGTTGTTGGGTGGAATAGGAAGAAAACACCTGTGTGGCTATTGATGGCCATGTTTGGAACAATGGGCAGTCATGCATGTAAGAATGGAGGAATAAAGGATTTTTCTAGATTCGCTGATATGGACATGTGTAGATGATAAAATTGCTGCGTATTGCAGTTGTTTGCTTATTGTTCGAATAGAATTGGAATAGATAATAGGTTCCGCTATACAGATGACTGTAAACCAACAATTGTCGCAATAAATGCCTCCATAAAAGAACATTGCAACACCATACGAAGACAATATGCGTTAATTAGTTATCTAACATCTAAAGCTAACAGAACCTTAATTTTTTTTCATAGGTTGTAATTATGGAGATCTATAGATGGAGATGTCCACGATAAGGAAAAGTTTCACTGTCTTTATTACTTTTGTTTTCATGCCACATGGGTCCAGCACGAGGGAAAAAATGGTCGAAAATTATTTCAACAGAACTTCCCTCGCACCTGAAGCGCAACCCAACAAATCCCGCTTCTTTGAAAAATTATACAAATTTTTTGAGATTTTTGTGTCCTGATAACCTCTAACTTTTCCATTCATCAATTTTTCCGTTTTGTTTGTTCCTTGAGTTTTTCGATTTACAATTTTTCGAATTTTCAATCTTAAATTTTTCAGTTTTTCAATTTTCCAACTTTTGATTTTCTCAATTTTTAGATTTTGCAATTTTTCGATTTGAGTTTCTCAAGTTTTCAATTTTTGTTTTTTAATATTTCGATTTGCAATTTGTCGTTTCGATTTTTTGTTTTCTTAGTTTTTCCAATTACTCGATTTTTTAATGTTTCGATATTATAAATTTTTCGTTTCTTCAGTTCTTTGATTTGTGATTTTTCAAGTTTTCATTTGTCTTCAATTTTTAGATTTAGCAGCTTTTCGATTTGTCATTTTAAATTTTCAATTTGCAGTTTTTGTTTCGGTTTTTCATTTTCTTTATTTATACAATTTTTAGATTTTTCAATGTTCCGATTTTACAAGTTTTTGTTTTTTTTTCAATTTCAATTTTTTCAATATTTCCTTTTTTCAATTTTTCGATTTGCAATTTTAAAATTTTTCATTTTTTTAATTCTTTCATTTTACGACATGCTACTCTTAGAATTTTCATTTTTTAATTTTTCAGTTTTTCAGTGTTCCAACTTTTGAACTTCTGAATTTTTAGATTTTGCAATTTTTCGATTTGAGTTCAAGTTTTATTATATTAATTTTTTCAGTTTTCTCTTTCTTCAATTTTTAGATTTTGCAGTTTTTAGATTCCTAAATTTTTCATTTCTTCAAATTTTCAATTTACAATTTAGGTTTCGGTTTTTCATTTTCTTTATTTTTACCATTTTTCAATGTTCCAATTTTTCAATTTTTATTTTTTTTTTATTCTTTTGTTTTACGACATGGAACAAGAGTTTTCATTTTTTAATTTTTCAGTCTTTCGATTTTCCAACTTTTGAATGTTTCAGTTTTTAAATTTGGCAATTTAAGCTTTCAGTTCTCAGTTTTGCGATTTTGGAATTCTTCGTATCTTCAATTTTTCGATTTGCAATTTTTGAATTTTTCTTTTCTGTTATTCTTTGATTTTACGACATGCAACTCTTTGAATTTTCATTTTAAAATTTTTCAGTATTTCAATTTTCCAACTTTTGAATTTCTCAATTTTTGATTTTGCAATTTTTCGTTTTGATTTTTTGTTTTCTTATTTTTTGTAGTTGTTCGATTTTTCAGTGTTTCGTTATATGTATTACAAGTGTCTGTTTTACAATTTTAATTTCTTCAGTGTTTCGTTTCTTCAATTTTTTGCTTTGCGATTTTTCATTTCTTTAAATTTTCAATTCGCAATTTTTGTTTCGGTTTTTCATTTCCTTTATTTTTACAATTTTTAGATTTGCAATTGTTCTTTTCGGTTTTCTGTTTTCTTTATTTTTTCAATTTTTTGATTTCTCATTGTCTTGTTTTTATAATTTTTCTTTTTTTCAACCTACAATTTTTAGATTTTTCATTTTTCGTTTTATTCAATTTTAAAATTTACAGTTTCTCGATTTTGCAATTCTTCGTTTCTTCAATTCTTGATTTGCAATTTTTATAGTTTTCTTTTTAAATATATATCTAATAATAATTATTATAATTTTTAAAATTTGTCATTTTGATTGGATTTTAAAACTTTTTTATTTATTCGATTTTTCAATTTTCCGAGTTTTAATTTTTCAATTTTTCGACCTTTCGCTGTTACAGTTTCTTGACTTCACAATTTTGACGATCCTATAATTTTTCGATTTGAAAAATTTTTGGGTTTTCCAATTTTTTGATTCGATTCGTTTTTCCTTCGATTCGTTTTTCTTTCGTTCCAATTTTTCGATTCATTCTTTTCATTTTTTAAGTTTCTTATTTTTAGTTTTTCAATGTTTCAATCATTCGTTTCCTCGATTTGCTTTTTTCGTTTTTTTAGTTTCTCGCTTTTTCAATTTTTACGAAAATGAAAAAACGAAAATGTATAAAATGAAAACTTTGACAAATCAAAAAATTGGAAATCAGAATTTGAAAAATTGAAAATCAATAAAATTGAGAAATTGAAAAATTGCAAAAATGAAAAATTGGGAAACGAAGGAGTTGAAAAATCAAATATTGAAAATTTGAAAACTGAATAAATGAAAAATTATAAAATGGAAAGAAATATTGAAAAAATAATGATTATAAAAAAAACAAAAATTGTGATATAAAATCGAGAACATGAAAATTAAAAAATTGGAAAAATGAAAAATAAAAAATTGATAGACTGAAAAAGTCAGAAATGAAAAATTGGAAAACCGAGGAATTGAAAATTTGAAAAATTGAATAAAGAACAAATTATGAAATCGAAAGAAACATTGAAAAAACAAAGGAAATGAAGAAACAAAAATTGTGGGATAAAATCGACAAAATGAAAGTTAAATAATCGGGATAATTAAAAATTAAAATCTTGAACTTGAAAAATTGAAACGATAGATTGAAAAATTGGAAAACTAAAAACTGAAGAAACGAAAAATTGAAAAATTTGCAGGTCTCGAAATTGAAAACTTGAAAAAGTTAAACGAAAAATTTTTACAACAATCAGTAGTTGACAGACAGACAGACGGCAGACAGACAGACAGACGGAAAAGGGAGACCAATTTTTTTAATTCAATACTTTTGTAATTGCAATACTCACTTTGGTTAAGTTCAGTAATACAATTCAAAGTATTTTTTTAGAAAACTTAGACTGAAAGAATTTTTAAAAATATTTAACCTCATTTAATAAACCATTTCAGCACAGTTTTTTTAACCGTATAATGCACCTAAGCCCATAAATGCAAAAATCCGTCTAAAAACTTCCCCAAGAAGCCCGTGGGCGCCAGTCGTCAATCAGTTTAAATTTTTATTACACACAGCGACTTTATAAAACACAAAGTACCGTCGTAAAATCAAACAAGAAACATATGGCGGACATTATCTCTCCACATTGAACAATCACCTCTGAAACTCTATATTTTTCTCTCCTGACTTGTAGACATGCATATAAAGAAGCCTTTGCTCCTAATGAAGCATAACGACCTCGTAAGAAATAAGAAGCCAATAAAAGATAGATTTTGCAACATATTCTTCGGCAACAGTTGCCACCGTCGGCGCGCCAAAACTGACACAGTTAGGCTGCGACACTCCCCTGCGATTATGTCTTACTGTCGTTTTGACGTTCATTGTCGCAGAGTTTATCTCAACAATGTCTAAGTCCGGCTTTTTGACGTCTGGGATGACAGTCGTTGTTTGGAAACATTTAAAAACCGCTGCAAACCCTAAACTTTACGTGCTTCTACCTGTCGCCTTCTTCCATAGGCGCCGGAAAGCTAAAATTGAGTGGGGGGTTGGACAGAATTTTCACATTTTGTTTATAACAACGTAGTCAGTGTCTTTTTTTTGCTGAGAGTTCAGACCGCACAACCAGTTCGTCATTTTTAACATTTTGTAATGAACATTGAAAAAATTGTGTGTATTACACGCGCAAAAAGTTGCTTTTACAAACAGGTGTGGTTGTCAGTCTCTATGACGGTGTGTAAAAATTACATTTAATGGACTTGGAAGTACAAACAATAACAAGAAATCGTTACATTGTAGCTACATGAAATATATTAACATGAAATCATTAGTATGAATCTGTCTGTGTTTTTGTGACCATAAATAAAGATTTTTAAGAGAGTTTTAAATAAAGCTAATGAGAATATGTAAAAAATACATAGGGTGTGCTATTAAACAAAAAAAAAATAGTAGCGTGCTGTGCCTTCACAACAAAACACTCTGTACAGTTGAAAGTAACTTTACTGTATGCTGCTCAAAGAGCCGTAGGACTTTGAGCTATAACTTTGTTTTTCTCTAATAATAATTAATGAAAAATCGATGACCGTACGCTTAGTGACTCACCCTGTATATAATTATAGTATTTATTTAATACGTTGATTTCGATCTCTCTCTCATATCAACATCTGTTAAAACGATACAGAAATCAAATTTAGTAACTTCCATTTTTATTTTTACTTAATTTGTTAATTATATGACACACG